TAACCTACACAAAAGCGTCATGTTCCATCCTTCTTTCTGATCAGGACGACAGGAGAAGCCCAGGGGCTACAAGAGGGCTCGATTATATCTTTTGCAAGCATCTGTTCGAGTTCCTCTTGTATGACTGTGCGCTCGGACGCGGAAACACAGTATGGACGTCAGTGAATGGGACTCGCGTCACCAGTATTGATGCGATAAGTAACAACTCGTTCGGCTGAAAGCCGTGCTGGCGAAGTCGAAAATGTCACTATAGGACTCCAGGACGTGACGAAGGTCTTCCGCTTGATCAGGAGCGAAGTCTGATGGTACCATGTGGTCAACGTCGACACCCGATGAACGTGATAGAGTTGGTTCGTGGTCTGAGGTGCCGCAATCATCCACTCTGAAGGGTTCAACCGTATGGTCTTGTACAGCCGTAATGTCGGCCAGGGAGATACCTTGTGGAGGACTTTGGGCAGTGAGGGCAAAATTGACAATCGGGAAGGCATGTGCGGTTTTCAACGATTGTCAGAATGGTGTGCGAAACAGCGACAACATGCGTAAGCATCACGGCATGAAATGGGGCCACCATGTAATCGCCGTCAGGTACAGGTGGTATAGAAAAGAGGTCGATATGTGTGACAGTTAGGCGGAAGGTGTGCGAAATTAATGCAGCAAAGAACACTTTGGGGTGGCTTGGTCCGATCAGAAAGTAGAGGCATTTCAAGGTGAAGACAGCCGGCTGAACAATCTATAAGGGCCGAGTGAGCGGTTAGAAAATCCATGCCTAGAATTACTTAATGAGGGCAAATTTCTATAACGGTCAAAAGAACAACAGTGCTTCTATCGGCGATAGTCACACGGGCAGAGCACATGCCAATAATCGTGGCAGTTCCCCCGTCGGCGACACGAACGGCTCGGTTCAAGGCGGGTGTGATAACTTTCTTTAGGCGGCGACGAAGAGCAGCACTCAATATGGACACATGCGCGCCGATATTGATCAACGCACGCACAGGTACATTGTCTAAAGTAACGTTCAACTGATCCCGGGTGGTCGGTAATGTTACACGAGGATTTCTGGCAGAGGTCGTCGTCAATGCAGCTTCACCTCCAGAAGCTGCACTGCCTAGTTTTCCGGTCGGGGGCGCTGCGAATAGGTCGGAGAGGCAGGACGGCGTTGTGGGGGCGAACGAGATTGACGGCGAGCAGGGGATGGCGAGCGGGCGTAGCGAGGTCTTGTCAGAGGTGCGGCAAAATCAGAGGATGTGGTCGGCATAGGGGAATCAAAATGAAATGTCGAGGACGACTGGTAGACAGAAGTGGCCTGGGTAGGAGGCCCATAGTGTGCCGGCGGAGACCAGTGATTGCGGCAGTGGCGAGCAATATGACCGACACGTCGGCCGTTGAAGCATATGAGCTTGTCGTTCAGTGTACGCCATTCGGACAAATTGCGCTGTCGAGAGTAGTTGGAACCAAATCAAGGAGTGGAGGGACGACGATAAAAAGGCTCGGCAGAGTAGACTGGCTGAATGGGGGGTAGGCCGACATTCGATAATTCTTGACAAACAATGGCTTGTATGAGTGAGATAGTGGTCAGTGAAGGATCAGGCATTGGAAATGGATTACCTACTGGTTGGGCTGCCTCAACCTCGTGACAATTGATGCGGGTGAGGTTGTCACATCGGGGAACTGGGCCGACGGCGTCATCACAAGAGGAAGTAGTAGCTGTGTTCGGCAGGCGCGTGCTGCCGTAGGTGACGCGGCGGGCTTTAGCCTGTTCTAGACCGCGACATTCTATCGTGTCGATGCTCGTAACATTATTAAAAACCAGCAGGTTGAAGGCATCGTCAGCAATACCTTTGAGAACGTGATTAACTTTTTCTTCTTCTGACATGCGCTGGTCGACCTTGCTACAAAGCGCCAAGACGTCAAGAATGTATGAGACGTACGATTCAGTAGACGTCTGGGCGCGAGTGGCGAGAGTCTTCTTGGCAGCGAGCTGACGACCAGATGAATCGCCGAAAATATCACGGATCTTCGATTTGAAACAATTCCAGCTTATGATTTCGGCTTCGTTGGTTTAGAACCATGTCCACGGCGTGCCGTCGAGGTAGAACACAACATTGGCGAGCATGAGCGTGAGATCCCAGCGGTGGGTAGCACTGACTCGCTCGTACCGGTGCAGCCAGGAGTCAACGTCGATGGTACCGTCAGCGAAGAAAGTTCCAGGATCGCGCAGGGGTGGCAGGGTGACGTAGGTTGTCAACTCGGATCGAGAGACCTGTGGGGATGAGGCACTGGCAGTTGAAGTAGCCGAAGAGTCGCCGGTGTTGCGACCGCTGCGCGTCTCCATCGAGGTACGGGAGTCGTCCACCTCCACCACTAATGTTACGGGTAACTTATCTAATAAATTAAATACGATGCACCGTGCTCGGCGAAAAAGATGGCGACAGTTCATCAACAACCAGCCATCAACGTCGTCTTTCTCTTTCTTGCAGCCAGGCTTTGCCGGCTGTTGTGTATCAATATTTTCATGAAAGAAGTTGGTGGCAGTGGAGTCACAGCCTCCGGTGCGCGCTGCCCTAGTCAAAGCGCATGACGTCACGATTACAGTGAGGAGGCCTGATATGTAGGTGGCGTTACCTGGCTGCCTTCTTTTTCATGTGTGAGTCACCACAACCACCACACTACGGTCGGTGTAGATCTGAGCCATTTTTCTTAGAACCACTTTCACTATTCGGAATAAGCAGCAATTAGCACCTCTGAACACAAGCTAATTGGTTCTTTTTGAACGTAATGCTACACAGAGGATGTAGGCTACCTAGTTTTGCTTTGCGATTTTCGCCGAGACAGGAGGACCCTGCCATCAGTGCCACAAGCAGGAATTAGCACCGCGGAACGCAAGCTCATTGGTTCTATTCAAACGGCACGCTACACAAACGATGTAGGCTACCTGGTTTTGCTCAGCAAATTTCGACGAGACAGGAGGACCCTGCTGTCAGTGCCATCCAAACAAACTGGTCGCCGAGGCCGAGATGAACCATGATATTTTTGCCAGTTTAATTTCCATTAACGAGTGACTCATCCCATGTGCTGCTTTGCGTAAGTACTGAAGCAGCAGCCGTTCTAACTGTGCTGAAGGAGCATCACGTTCTATATGCTGCGTAACTTAGATAATGCCGAGCGAAAGCGGCTCCTCGATTGTTTAATAGCATTTAGGCACCACTGCCCTGCAGGAGGGCTGGTTGGTTGCCGTGGTAACTCCTGTGTTGAAACCACGGAAGCATGCCATAGCTCTCGGTTCATAGAGGCCACTGTCTGTCACTTCTGGCGCCTGCAAGGTGATGGAGGGGATGTTGCTCTCTATCACCTTGCAGTGAATAATGCTTTAAATGCAGTACTTCCTGGAGCAGCTGAATAGGTTCAGGCACCATCACTGCACAGGTGGCTCCACCTTCGACGTGGTGGCTACCCCTGAGCATGCCAAAACCACGGGATGTGTCGTCACGGTGGTGCTTTTGGACACCGGAAGTTAGCGTGACGAACTTCTCCATGAGGTTAATGGGGCCTGTCGAAACCAGCTCGCGCTGAAGAGAAGATTTTAAAATATTCAACCACGCCTTCCTGACTGGTAGAACCGTGCAGGTGCGTGTTTCACAGGTGCTTAGCAGACCGAGGAATCTTCTGTTTGGTGTTCCACAAGGGCTGGTGCTAAGACAATTCCTGTTTAATCTGGCTCTCGCAAAGCCTTTCCGTATTACTCCCGGTGAACTATGGGTTCCTTATTTGTTGTACCAGTTATGCCACTGATGTAGCTCTCTGGACCCTGAAGGTGAGGAAGTACAAAGCTTCCTTCAGTGCTCGCTTCAATGGGTGCTGGACGCGATGGTAGATGTTTTTTCAACCTTGTTGTCATTGTGCTTAGAGCGACGACGGAGGCCGTGCTGGTTCACCCACTGTCACCTGCTCAGCGCTACATCAAGCAGCTGAAGCTCGCCGGGCACGCACTATTCTAGGAAAAGGTGGTCAACTACCAAGTACTCGCTAAATACCACCAGCTCACGTGGATTCCTGCGGTCAGTGCAGCAACTTAAAAGCTGCGCCGAGTGCTGGGATTTCTCATCAGCGTGATGGTGGGTGCTCTAAAAAGTGGGCGCTCTACTTGAAACAAGCCGCATCTACGCCCGCACGGCTGCATGCCCTACCATTTGTCTCTATTGTACCATCCAGAAAGGAGCAGCTGGAGACTGCATAAAGGTTCAATCACAAATATTATGGGCTTCCAAAGCACTCACGAATAGCCGAAACGCTAGCGGACGCTAAAGATTGCCCTGCTTTTTTTCGAAGATGCTGAGACGAGTCCCGAAGAACATCGACCGCCTTCACCATACTCCGGATAGAAGATCCGTGCTGATGAGACTCCGTAGCGCACCCTTGTCGCGAATGGGACGCCTTTGTCAGCTCTATGAGTGGATGATAATTGGCCCGCCTGTGGGAGAAGCCAGCTTCCACTACATCATCGTACAGTGGACGCCCATTTGTAGCTTGGTAGTTTGACCGAATGGTGGACGCTGGCTGCTGCACTGAAACGGGCCGCTGCCTACAAGTACCACTAATAGCTCCGGCGCTGCAGCCTGCATCATCCCGGCTAGGCCGGAAAGTCGACAATGCTGACTCGTATTCAGGGTAAGCTCCATCGTGACAGAGCTAGCGGGTCTCCACGTGACTGCTGGCGTGCTTGTCGAGGACCTTTCTGAGCAACGAGTGATAGTGATTTGTGACTTCAAGCGAGTGCTTCAGTTCCTCGTGAACCACCGATCATCTGCGCTTAGTGCCTCCTTGTGGAGGTCCAAGTTCTCCACATTGCATGCTGCTGGAATTTACAATTCGTTCACTCGGATACCGGCACGCGTTGAAATTTTCGGAAAGGAGTAGGCGGACACTCTTACGGTCTTACCACAATCGCCTACCACACTAGTGTGCCGCTTGCATGAGCTGTTGCTTCCTTTGATTTTTTTTAGGCAGCAGTTGAAGCAACTGCTCACAAGCCTCCGTACTGTTGCCAGAGTGTCCAAGGACCCAAGCATCTCCCAGACGGCGGCTTCACCGAGCAGGAGCGCACCACTATGCTTCAGCCTGCGCAAGCGTTGTTTGTGAACAGCGGCGCACTTGTACGCTAAGGGACGCTCCCCCTCACCAGCTTGCGAACGTTGTGGTTACACTGAGACACTTGAGCACCTTCTCTGTGCTTGCTCAGCGTTGGCACAGGAACGCTTCGAACTGTAGGCTACAGCGGCTTCCTGTGACCACTTTGAACTACTTCTTGTTCCCTTCGCTTTCGAACGTAATGCTCTCTGCGACTGGAGGCGACTGCAATCACGAACTACCGTCAGGCTTCCGCCATTTGCTGGACACTGACTTCCCCTTTGGTCTGCCCGATGAATAAAGGAGACCCCTGCTGCAAATCCTTGTATGTTTTGCTGTGTTTATTTATTCCGCTTTTCCCATTATTTAACAATTTGCTTCACTGACGCTGTGAGCTGCTTCCTATTGAGCCGCAGAGTTAAGCGTCCATTTCGCAAACGACACTATTGCTTTGTTTTATAGGATTTCACAGCGCCTATAACAACCTAGTTGGGTGTTTATGCTTAAACATATGCCTCTAAATTTATAGTCAATCACCATTTGACCTATTGTTCGTATTTTGGTTGCATTTTCAAATTGTTAAGCACGTTACCAGGCTACAGTGACTTCTCCTACCTCTATAGGTTTACAGCTAGCTCTACAGTTGAACCAATACAAAAGAAACAACCGCTATAGCATCAATGAAGTGAGAAGACCCGGCCAGAATATAGCGGCGCGCTGACATGGCGCAAGCGGCTGCAAATGCGAGACCACTGCGAGCCTTGAAAAAGAAGAGTGCAAAGCCTAATAAGAAAATCGGGATGTAAACCCACGTCTTCTGTTTTGTAGCTTACAACGGAGGTGTTCACCACCGAGGCAGAAATAGGCTCTAAACAATTTGACTCGTTCAGTTGGAGACATCCTTCATTCCTACTCTTTATATGTCTGCAGATCTGCTCCTGCCCTGCCCTTCTCGGGTATGTCGAAAAAGAAAGATAATCAGGGGCATGTTGATTCGACAGTGAACACTTGACTCTCTGTGTTACAGCATATATACTGCATATATGCTGTAGCACAAAGAAAAACGGCAGGACTGATGCCTTTCTCAGCATAAACAATATTATTTCTTCATTTTCTTCCGTAGACGCAGTCTTCCGTGAAATTCAAAGCATTTATGTGAATATTTATAGTGCCTGTCATTGCAGCTTTAGCTAACTGGAATGTTGTGCCCGCCCATCTCAGGCGCCTATACCATGCAACCTTGCATTTATGCGCTGAAACCCGCTTTAGTACTAGCATATCATTTTGCGAAGGCGAAAAAATGAGCTCTTCTTACGGCGCCACAAAGATTCAATTAATTTTCGTCATGTACTTCGTTACTTGCATAAATTGCAGTATATGTCACTAGTAACTCCAATGGTGTCTAACACAAGAATTTCATCGTCGTAAGTCAGGTCGCTAATGAATTCTCGGTTTTTTTCGTTTTAGCATTTGTTACTGCAGTACGCCTTATAAAAGGATTTTGTCACTGCTTTATCCGCAAGCAATAGCCGCGGAATCAGTACGCTAAGGTTTGATAATACAAAACATGCACCAAAGTTACAACAATTTTTGTTCGATGCTCTACCCAGCCACGGTGGTCTAGTGGCTAAGGTGCTTGGCTGCTGACCCGTAGGTCACGGGATTGAATAACGGCCGTGCCGCCTGCAGTTCCAATGGAGGTGGAAAGGTTGTAGGCCCATGTGCTCAGATTTGGTGCACGTTTAAACACTCATGTAGTGGAATTTTAAGAGACCGGACTCCTGCGGCAATCGACGATGTGGCCAAGTACGGTTATTTGACGACGAGCAAAGTGGCATTTCGACGAGTTCAGTTGAAGTCCGGCTCGCAAAAAACTTCAAGAATCGCCGATAACGCTTCAGATTGGAGTAGAATGTGGGCGAGGAAAACGATAACGTCGTCTAATAACATAAGCAGGTTGGCTATTTAAACCCTTGGAGCAATGAGTCCATCATTCTTTCGAATGTGGCCGGCGCATTACAGAGACCAAACGGGCATAACTTTGAAGTGATAAAGCCCGTCAGGAGTGACGAATGCGGTCTTCTCACGGTCCATCTCGTCCACAGCGATCTGCCAATAGCCAGATCGAAGGTCGATAGTGTAAAAATACGTAGCACCGTAAAGGCAGTCTAAGGCATCGTCGATTCTAGGAAACGGGTAAACATCTTTCTTCGTAATTTTGTTGAGATGCCTATAACCTACACAAAAGCGTCATGTTCCATCCTTCTTTCTGATCAGGACGACAGGAGAAGCCCAGGGGCTACAAGAGGGCTCGATTATATCTTTTGCAAGCATCTGTTCGAGTTCCTCTTGTATGACTGTGCGCTCGGACGCGGAAACACAGTATGGACGTCAGTGAATGGGACTCGCGTCACCAGTATTGATGCGATAAGTAACAACTCGTTCGGCTGAAAGCCGTGCTGGCGAAGTCGAAATGTCACTATAGGACTCCAGGACGTGACGAAGGTCTTCCGCTTGATCAGGAGCGAAGTCTGATGGTACCATGTGGTCAACGTCGACACCCGATGAACGTGATAGAGTTGGTTCGTGGTCTGAGGTGCCGCAATCATCCACTCTGAAGGGTTCAACCGTATGGTCTTGTACAGCCGTAATGTCGGCCAGGGAGATACCTTGTGGAGGACTTTGGGCAGTGAGGGCAAAATTGACAATCGGGAAGGCATGTGCGGTTTTCAACGATTGTCAGAATGGTGTGCGAAACAGCGACAACATGCGTAAGCATCACGGCATGAAATGGGGCCACCATGTAATCGCCGTCAGGTACAGGTGGTATAGAAAAGAGGTCAATATGTGTGACAGTTAGGCGGAAGGCGTGCCAAATTAATGCAGCAAAGAACACTTTGGGGTGGCTTGGTCCGATCAGAAAGTAGAGGCATTTCAAGGTGAAGACAGCCGGCTGAACAATCTATAAGGGCCGAGTGAGCGGTTAGAAAATCCATGCCTAGAATTACTTAATGAGGGCAAATTTCTATAACGGTCAAAAGAACAACAGTGCTTCTATCGGCGATAGTCACACGGGCAGAGCACATGCCAATAATCGTGGCAGTTCCCCCGTCGGCGACACGAACGGCTCGGTTCAAGGCGGGTGTGATAACTTTCTTTAGGCGGCGACGAAGAGCAGCACTCAATATGGACACATGCGCGCCGATATTGATCAACGCACGCACAGGTACATTGTCTAAAGTAACGTTCAACTGATCCCGGGTGGTCGGTAATGTTACACGAGGATTTCTGGCAGAGATCGTCGTCAATGCAGCTCCACCTCCAGAAGCTGCACTGCCTAGTTTTCCGGTCGGGGCGCTGCGAATAGGTCGGAGAGGCAGGACGGCGTTGTGGGGGCGAACGAGATTGACGGCGAGCAGGGGATGGCGAGCGGGCGTAGCGAGGTCTTGTCAGAGGTGCGGCAAAATCAGAGGATGTGGTCGGCATAGGGGAATCAAAATGAAATGTCGAGGACGACTGGTAGACAGAAGTGGCCTGGGTAGGAGGCCCATAGTGTGCCGGCGGAGACCAGTGATTGCGGCAGTGGCGAGCAATATGACCGACACGTCGGCAGTTGAAGCATATGAGCTTGTCGTTCAGTGTACGCCATTCGGACAAATTGCGCTGTCGAGAGTAGTTGGAACCAAATCAAGGAGTGGAGGGACGACGATAAAAAGGCTCGGCAGAGTAGACTGGTTGAATGGGGTGTAGGCCGACGTTCGATAATTCTTGACGAACAACGGCTTGTATGAGTGAGATAGTGGTCAGTGAAGGATCAGGCATTGGAAATGGATTACCTACTGGTTGGGCTGCCTCAACCTCGTGACAATTGATGCGGGTGAGGTTGTCACATCGGGGAACTGGGCCGACGGCGTCATCACAAGAGGAAGTAGTAGCTGTGTTCGGCAGGCGCGTGCTGCCGTAGGTGACGCGGCGGGCTTTAGCCTGTTCTAGACCGCGACATTCTATCGTGTCGATGCTCGTAACATTATTAAAAACCAGCAGGTTGAAGGCATCGTCAGCAATACCTTTGAGAACGTGATTAACTTTTTCTTCTTCTGACATGCGCTGGTCGACCTTGCTACAAAGCGCCAAGACGTCAAGAATGTATGAGACGTACGATTCAGTAGACGTCTGGGCGCGAGTGGCGAGAGTCTTCTTGGCAGCGAGCTGACGACCAGATGAATCGCCGAAAATATCACGGATCTTCGATTTGAAACAATTCCAGCTTATGATTTCGGCTTCGTTGGTTTAGAACCATGTCCACGGCGTGCCGTCGAGGTAGAACACAACATTGGCGAGCATGAGCGTGAGATCCCAGCGGTGGGTAGCACTGACTCGCTCGTACCGGTGCAGCCAGGAGTCAACGTCGATGGTACCGTCAGCGAAGAAAGTTCCAGGATCGCGCAGGGGTGGCAGGGTGACGTAGGTTGTCAACTCGGATCGAGAGACCTGTGGGGATGAGGCACTGGCAGTTGAAGTAGCCGAAGAGTCGCCGGTGTTGCGACCGCTGCGCGTCTCCATCGAGGTACGGGAGTCGTCCACCTCCACCACTAATGTTACGGGTAACTTATCTAATAAATTAAATACGATGCACCGTGCTCGGCGAAAAAGATGGCGACAGTTCATCAACAACCAGCCATCAACGTCGTCTTTCTCTTTCTTGCAGCCAGGCTTTGCCGGCTGTTGTGTATCAATATTTTCATGAAAGAAGTTGGTGGCAGTGGAGTCACAGCCTCCGGTGCGCGCTGCCCTAGTCAAAGCGCATGACGTCACGATTACAGTGAGGAGGCCTGATATGTAGGTGGCGTTACCTGGCTGCCTTCTTTTTCATGTGTGAGTCACCACAACCACCACACTACGGTCGGTGTAGATCTGAGCCATTTTTCTTAGAACCACTTTCACTATTCGGAATAAGCAGCAATTAGCACCTCTGAACACAAGCTAATTGGTTCTTTTTGAACGTAATGCTACACAGAGGATGTAGGCTACCTAGTTTTGCTTTGCGATTTTCGCCGAGACAGGAGGACCCTGCCATCAGTGCCACAAGCAGGAATTAGCACCGCGGAACGCAAGCTCATTGGTTCTATTCAAACGGCACGCTACACAAACGATGTAGGCTACCTGGTTTTGCTCAGCAAATTTCGACGAGACAGGAGGACCCTGCTGTCAGTGCCATCCAAACAAACTGGTCGCCGAGGCCGAGATGAACCATGATATTTTTGCCAGTTTAATTTCCATTAACGAGTGACTCATCCCATGTGCTGCTTTGCGTAAGTACTGAAGCAGCAGCCGTTCTAACTGTGCTGAAGGAGCATCACGTTCTATATGCTGCGTAACTTAGATAATGCCGAGCGAAAGCGGCTCCTCGATTGTTTAATAGCATTTAGGCACCACTGCCCTGCAGGAGGGCTGGTTGGTTGCCGTGGTAACTCCTGTGTTGAAACCACGGAAGCATGCCATAGCTCTCGGTTCATAGAGGCCACTGTCTGTCACTTCTGGCGCCTGCAAGGTGATGGAGGGGATGGTGCTCTACATCACCTTGCAGTGAATAATGCTTTAAATGCAGTACTTCCTGGAGCAGCTGAATAGGTTCAGGCACCATCACTGCACAGGTGGCTCCACCTTCGACGTGGTGGCTACCCCTGAGCATGCCAAAACCACGGGATGTGTCGTCACGGTGGTGCTCTTGGACGTCGGAAGTTAGCGTGACGAACTTCTCCATGAGGTTAATGGGGCCTGTCGAAACCAGCTCGCGCTGAAGAGAAGATTTCAAAAATATTCAACCACGCCTTCCTGACTGGTAGAACCGTGCAGGTGCGTGTTTCACAGGTGCTAAGCGGACCGAGGAATCTTCTGCTTGGTGTTCCACAAGGGCAGGTGCTAAGACAATTCCTGTTTAATCTGGCTCTCGCAAAGCCTTTCTGTATTACTCCCGGTGAACTATGGGTTCCTTATTTGTTGTACCAGTTATGCCACTGATGTAGCTCTCTGGACCCTGAAGGTGAGGAAGTACAAAGCTTCCTTCAGTGCTCGCTTCAATGGGTGCTGGACGCGATGGTAGATGTTTTTGCAACCTTGTTGTCATTGTGATTAGAGCGAAGACGGAGGCCGTGCTGGTTCACCCACTGTCACCTGCTCAGCGCTACATCAAGCAGCTGAAGCTCGCCGGGCACGCACTATTCTAGGAAAAGGTGGTCAACTACCAAGTACTCGCTAAATACCACCAGCTCACGTGGATTCCTGCGGTCAGTGCAGCAACTTAAAAGCTGCGCCGAGTGCTGGGATTTCTCATCAGCGTGATGGTGGGTGCTCTAAAAAGTGGGCGCTCTACTTGAAACAAGCCGCATCTACGCCCGCATGGCTGCATGCCCTACCATTTGTCTCTATCATACCATCCAGAAAGGAGCAGCTGGAGACTGCATAAAGGTTCAATCACAAATATCATGGGCTTCCAAAGCACTCACGGATAGCCGAAACGCTAGCGGACGCTAAAGATTGCCCTGCTTTTTTTTTTCGAAGATGCTGACACGAGTCCCGAAGAACATCGACCGCCTTCACCGTACTCCGGATAGAAGATCCGTGCTGATGAGACTCCGTAGCGCACCCTTGTCGCGAATGGGACGCCTTTGTCAGCTCTATGAGCGGATAATAATTGGCCCGCCTGTGGGAGTAGCCAGCTTCCACCACATCATCGTACAGTGGACGCCCATTTGTAGCTTGGTAGTTTGACCGAATGGTGGACGCTGGCTGCTGCACTGAAACGGGCCGCTGCCTACAAGTACCACTAATAGCTCCGGCGCTGCAGCCTGCATCATCCCGGCTAGGCCGGAAAGTCGACAATGCTGACTCGTATTCAGGGTAAGCTCCATCGTGACAGAGCTAGCGGGTCTCCACGTGACTGCTGGCGTGCTTGTCGAGGACCTTTCTGAGCAACGAGTGATAGTGATTTGTGACTTCAAGCGAGTGCTTCAGTTCCTCGTGAACCACCGATCATCTGCGCTTAGTGCCTCCTTGTGGAGGTCCAAGTTCTCCACATTGCATGCTGCTGGAATTTACAATTCGTTCACTCGGATACCGGCACGCGTTGAAATTTTCGGAAAGGAGTAGGCGGACACTCTTACGGTCTTACCACAATCGCCTACCACACTAGTGTGCCGCTTGCATGAGCTGTTGCTTCCTTTGATTTTTTTTAGGCAGCAGTTGAAGCAACTGCTCACAAGCCTCCGTACTGTTGCCAGAGTGTCCAAGGACCCAAGCATCTCCCAGACGGCGGCTTCACCGAGCAGGAGCGCACCACTATGCTTCAGCCTGCGCAAGCGTTGTTTGTGAACAGCGGCGCACTTGTACGCTAAGGGACGCTCCCCCTCACCAGCTTGCGAACGTTGTGGTTACACTGAGACACTTGAGCACCTTCTCTGTGCTTGCTCAGCGTTGGCACAGGAACGCTTCGAACTGTAGGCTACAGCGGCTTCCTGTGACCACTTTGAACTACTTCTTGTTCCCTTCGCTTTCGAACGTAATGCTCTCTGCGACTGGAGGCGACTGCAATCACGAACTACCGTCAGGCTTCCGCCATTTGCTGGACACTGACTTCCCCTTTGGTCTGCCCGATGAATAAAGGAGACCCCTGCTGCAAATCCTTGTATGTTTTGCTGTGTTTATTTATTCCGCTTTTCCCATTATTTAACAATTTGCTTCACTGACGCTGTGAGCTGCTTCCTATTGAGCCGCAGAGTTAAGCGTCCATTTCGCAAACGACACTATTGCTTTGTTTTATAGGATTTCACAGCGCCTATAACAACCTAGTTGGGTGTTTATGCTTAAACATATGCCTCTAAATTTATAGTCAATCACCATTTGACCTATTGTTCGTATTTTGGTTGCATTTTCAAATTGTTAAGCACGTTACCAGGCTACAGTGACTTCTCCTACCTCTATAGGTTTACAGCTAGCTCTACAGTTGAACCAATACAAAAGAAACAACCGCTATAGCATCAATGAAGTGAGAAGACCCGGCCAGAATATAGCGGCGCGCTGACATGGCGCAAGCGGCTGCAAATGCGAGACCACTGCGAGCCTTGAAAAAGAAGAGTGCAAAGCCTAATAAGAAAATCGGGATGTAAACCCACGTCTTCTGTTTTTGTAGCTTACAACGGAGGTGTTCACCACCGAGGCAGAAATAGGCTCTAAACAATTTGACTCGTTCAGTTGGAGACATCCTTCATTCCTACTCTTTATATGTCTGCATATCTGCTCCTGCCCTGCCCTTCTCGGGTATGTCGAAAAGAAAGATAATCAGGGGCATGTTGATTCGACATTGAACACTTGACTCTCTGTGTTACAGCATATATACTGCATATATACTGTAGCACAAATAAAAACGGCAGGACTGATGCCTTTCTCAGCATAAACAATATTATTTCTTCATTTTCTTCCGTAGACGCAGTCTTCCGTGAAATTCAAAGCATTTATGTGAATATTTATAGTGCCTGTCATTGCAGCTTTAGCTAACTGGAATGTTGTGCCCGCCCATCTCAGGCGCCTATACCATGCAACCTTGCATTTATGCGCTGAAAACCCGGCTTTAGTACTAGCATATCATTTTGCGAAGGCGAAAAAATGAGCTCTTCTTACGGCGCCACAAAGATTCAATTAATTTTCGTCATGTACTTCGTTACTTGCATAAATTGCAGTATATGTCACTAGTAACTCCAATGGTGTCTAACACAAGAATTTCATCGTCGTAAGTCAGGTCGCTAATGAATTCTCGGTTTTTTCGTTTTAGCATTTGTTACTGCAGTACGCCTTATAAAAGGATTTTGTCACTGCTTTATCCGCAAGCAATAGCCGCGGAATCAGTACGCTAAGGTTTGATAATACAAAACATGCACCAAAGTTACAACAATTTTTGTTCGATGCTCTACCCAGCCACGGTGGTCTAGTGGCTAAGGTGCTTGGCTGCTGACCCGTAGGTCACGGGATTGAATAACGGCCGTGCCGCCTGCAGTTCCAATGGAGGTGGAAAGGTTGTAGGCCCATGTGCTCAGATTTTGGTGCACGTTTAAACACTCCATGTAGTGGAAATTTTAAGAGACCTCCACTTTAGCGCCTCTCATAGTCATATGGTGGTTTTGGGACGTTAAACACCACATATTTATGAATCAATCGAGTTTCTACTCCATACATTGCCGACAGGTTATTCGCACGTTGCGCAAGATAAACAGTCGGCTGCCAGAACACAAGAAAAAAAATTCTGCGATCTACCAGACCATTTTCATTGTTCCAAACGTACATTCCTACTCGGCAAAACTTCATGCGGCTACGATATGCTCGCGGACAAGTAAAGACATCCTGCAGTATGTAGAACGCTTTTACTCACCCTCCAAATCTAATTTTGCTTAGTAACTGCTCTATATTTTTGAATTATTCAGGAAGGCCAGCCAGAATCGAAGTGTTTTCTTCGGCACCAAGCATGTTTTTTATTGTTCGTGTTTTTATTACCAATTTAATGTCTGCCATGGTGTTCAATATACGAGGCACGCGTTCTAACGAGCAAAGCAGGCAACGTGCAGGAGTGGTCTTAAATATGAAGGAACACGCTCCTGCTTTGAAGTTTGCAGTGGGGCATCGTATGAGGCATTGCAAAAAAACGAAGGAACACTAAAATCAACGAAGACGACCGAACAAAAGTTAGTGGAGGGGAGTTAGGGAAGTCTCGACAGAGAAATATTACGGCTGAGTAGCTCCCGATTATAAGCCTCAGTTTGAGAGATTTCGAGACGTGTACAAACATGAACAGTGCGGAATATTCACTCGATCTGTGCCCTGAAAGCACAAATCACTAGAGATAGTTTGAAGGCCGTATAAAATTGTATAATATGCAAATTATCTCGCAATATTTTATGTGATTGAAAATATTATGTTTATTCACGACTACCAACAGGGAATTAGTTATAGAATTGAAAAGAACAAAGCGTATTCCATGCTATGGTTACCAAAATAACGTGGAAAATTTTTCGTAAGATGTCTCAGCGTCACCAACTTGTGCCGTCAAACAGAAGCTTGTTTGGTTTTGTGTATTACGACCGCATTAGCGCGTGATAAGGCAATAAAACAACTTTTCAACTCCACCTTTCTCGGGCGTATGTCCATCGCAGAGCGCCGCATCGAAACCAAGGATACTTCTGTTGTACGCCACCGACCATACGGTGTCTGCCGCGGAGCGCAAAATTATCGAGTACAACGCCACTGAAACGCTGAAAGGCATCATCATTCGCCTATCGTCAAGTTCTTGGTTATCGCCCGTTGTGCTGGTACAGAAGAAGCACGACTCGATTACAATTTTGCGTTGATTACCGAGCAATAATTAGGAGCACATACAAAGATGTGTACCCATTGCCAGGACTCGATGATGCCCTCGACTCCCTCTACGTGATTGAATCTTTCTCAAGCCTCGATATCCGCTCTGGCAATCAGCAAATACATATGCACGAAGCGGACAAAGATAAGACGGCCTTTCCATCAGATGATGTCCTCTATGAGTTCAATTTTATTGCCCTTCAGTTTATGAAACGTCCCGGCAATGTTTGGCCGTATCATGCACACCATCCGTCGTTGCCTTGAGCGGAAAACCTGTTTATGTTATCTGGATGACATAGTGTTTTAAAGACGATACTCTTTCTTGGGGACATTCGACGGAAAAATTTTGGGCTGTCTGTCTGTCCGTCTGTACATTTGTCTGTTTGTCTGCTCTAACGATGCCTCAAACGGCACCGAACAGCCAACCCCATCTGCAGCGCCCACCAATATTGCTCAAGGTTTAGCGTTCGTAGTTGTGTGATTCTCAAATAAAAAACACATATTGCGCATATCTGAGGTGCCACAACAACACGTTTATGTCCTTTATGTCTGCCTTTATATTAGAAGAGGCACACACAAGTAATTCTAAGGACTGTAGCGTTTATCAAGCTGCGCTGACAGTGCAACGCGATGCTCAAGAAGGTGTTTCCAACACTTTGCTACGACGACACGGTGGTGGCACCGGCCCGTCGCTTCGCATTCTACACCTTATCACCTCTGAGACTGGCGTGCATCTTTCTCTGCGGACGCGCACGCCTTCGTTTTCGAAGATAACTGCCAGATGGCACTAGTGCCTAACGTGCCCAGATGCGCTTGTTCGCCTCCGTTACACGCTCGAGGCACTCTAACACAGCGCCTTCAGAATACCATTTACCGATTTTTCTGCGCAGAACATCAAATAAACGTTTTGTTCACTCTCTTCAAACGCAAGACTATCGTCTTTCGACGACATATACAGTGTAACATGTAAATGCTGGCCAAGTTTTTTACTCCAATTTTCCATATCATCTTGAGCGGCTACACGAAGTTTTCGCTTGTCTTTCTTACGCTGGGCTGCAACTCCAATCCAAAACATCACTTCGCTCAACAGAACATCATATTGTTAGGTCACATAGTGAAGATGGTGATCGACCAGATCCCGAAAAGACGAAGCCTGTGACGCACTTTCCTCAGCCCCAAAGTCAAAAGCAGCGATGAAGTTGTCTGGGCCTTGCGTCTTATTTCCGCCACTTCATTCGCGACTTCGCCTCTACTGCGTCACCAGTACACAAGCTGCTGACGTCGGAAACAGCCTTCGCTTCGACAATCGATTGTGACGCCGCTTTTAACGCCCTAAAGGCAGCGCTCACATGTGACCCCATCCTCCGTCACTTCGCTGTGCACGCCCCTACCTGCCTGCACACCGGTGCTAGTGTCCATTACACCAGTGCCGTTTTGGTACAGCGTGAATCAACTGGTCACGAAGGATTAGTCACCGATTCTACCTATGCACTCACGGATCCTGAACGGAAATACTCGTTTACCGAACAAAAATACCTGGCTGTAATTTGAACCATGCAGAAAATGCCACTCAGCTATACGGAGGCTATTTTGCTGCAACAACGAACCACCGCGCATTATGCTGGTTATCATCGCAAAAGCGTTTTTCCAGAGGCCTCGGCCGCTGGGTGCTTCGACTAAAACAATGCACATTGAAGTCGCCTACAAATTTGAAAAAAAGCACCGAGATGCCGACCGCCTCTCTTGTCGCCCTTGCTCACTACCATCTACGCCGAGAAAGCCTCTTTATTTCTCGTCACATGATAATGAGTCATTGAAAGTGGCCGGAGACTCCCTATACATTTCTTGTATTCGTTCTCACATGCTGATACGCGGTGGCAGTGGCGTTTGTAGCACTGGCGGCTGCCGCGCATCCTACTAGAAATAACTCATGAACAGTAAATTTCTTTCATGACGCCGTGGTTGAGATCACCAAATGAGAGAAAGGATGAAA